ATATTTATAATCAATAATTTAATGTTCTCAACACAATTGTGATACTAGTTACTAAAACAAAAGTCTTTGAGTGCAATGTTAATAAAAGGACTAAGTGTACCATACAAAATATGTCAATCCTACGTATCATACAAATAACTCTCATATGTAATTTACAATCCTACGTATCATACAAATAACTCTCATATGTAATATACTACTCAGTGGCTGTATGTTTTCTCTAAGCCAATAAAAAACTACTACTACTACTAATCCGGGAGAAGTGGGGGAAAATTTTTACTAATTTGAGATTAGGTTACAGATTTTCGCGCAGAATCCGAATTGTTTACATATATTTACATGCACTGTATTTAAAATATAAGTACATAGGGGTAAACGCACCATCTACCGTACACCCGTAAATTCACTTTATTTTGTTACCATGATTGTAAGACAGTTTGATACTAAATATTGACTCATTAAATTTTAAATTGTTATTCAGGATCTCAAGAGAGCACCCAAATTTTTTTGAGGTGTTAGAGCTTGTTAAAATGATTTTATAATAAAAATATGAAATAGAAGTCGTGTTCCTATTTCCGTACTGCCGTTCTCATTACCGGACCCCATCTACCGTACGTGTTCCTATTACCGGACCCCATTCACCGTTTGACGACAGATTTGACTATAACCTCACATTTTTGTTTACAACTGCATATCGATCTCAGTGCCTGCTACATAAATCACGATGAAAATGTCAAAAGCAGAGAAAGATGGAAAATCGAAAATTAAGGAAAAAACGCCAAGTCAATTATGCAATTCAAAAAGATAGCAGACAGAAAAATCAAAAAAGAAAAACAATTACAGAGAGAGAAACAAAGATTAGAAAAAGAAAATAAAAAATTACGAAAGCAAGAAGAGAAGTTAAAAGCCATTGTAAACAGAAAAAAGTCTGTTGAGGAAGATTTAATGGACGAGACAGAAGCTATTGATTTACAAAAGCAGATTGGAGAACTTCAAGAGAAACAATTAAAACTAAACCAAAAAAGAAACAAAGATCCATCATGAGTAATTTTTGTAATGCAAGTTATTCTTGAATATTCATAACATCGTAAGTTGATTACTATTATAGTCTCAAGCTTTTTTACTGATTTTTGTCAGTCTAATTAAAATATTAAAAAGCAATAATATCTCATGATATGAAACAGAAATCTTTTTAATGAATAAATTTTTTTTTAATAAATGCAAATAAGTTATTTCATACAAACAAGCAGTAATTAAACTTAGATTAGTTTCAGCTTAACGACAATTAAATCTATTAATACTAAATAAAACTTCACTTGGCAAAAATTATTCAAGAATAACTTGCATTTGAACTTGCATTGCTACTCATGATGGATCTTTGTTTCTTTTTTGGTTTAGTTTTAATTGTTTCTCTTGAAGTTCTCCAATCTGCTTTTGTAAATCAATAGCTTCTGTCTCGTCCATTAAATCTTCCTCAACAGACTTTTTTCTGTTTACAATGGCTTTTAACTTCTCTTCTTGCTTTCGTAATTTTTTATTTTCTTTTTCTAATCTTTGTTTCTCTCTCTGTAATTGTTTTTCTTTTTTGATTTTTCTGTCTGCTATCTTTTTGAATTGCATAATTGACTTGGCGTTTTTTCCTTGATTTTCAATTTTCCATCTTTCTCTGCTTTTGACATTTTCATCGTGATTTATGTAGCAGGCACTGAGATCGATATGCAGTTGTAAACAAAAATGTGAGGTTATAGTCAAATCTGTCGTCAAACGGTGAATGGGGTCCGGTAATAGGAACACGTACGGTAGATGGGGTCCGGTAATGAGAACGGCAGTACGGAAATAGGAACACGACTTTTATTTCATATTTTTATTATAAAATTATTTTAACAAGCTCTAACACCTCAAAAAAATTTGGGTGCTCTCTTGAGATCCTGAATAACAATTTAAAATTTACTGAGTCAATATTTAGTATCAAACTGTCTTACAATCATGGTAACAAAATAAAGTGAATTTACGGGTGTACGGTAGATGGTGCGTTTACCCCTATCCATGCAGTGCAGTCTGCGAGTCAGCACCTGCAGAGGTGCAGAGATACTATTTTGGCAAAAAAGGGATGGCATTTTTTTTGTAATATATAATCGTGTAATGTAGTGAGAGTTTTGTTATGTGTTATTTATATGAACATGGAATACTGACTGGTGACATAAAATGTGCGGAAAAAATTATATGATTTTAGCTTACCGCATGTTATTTTAATTTTGTTAATGATTACTATGTAGGAATATACAGTTAAAGTACCTCATGAACACTTTAAACATCTCGAATCTATATAATACTTAGTTTTTTTTTATTCTTTACGTTTTATAAACATTTATACAAAATTGTTTACAAGTCACAACATTATTAGGGGTGTTATTTTTCATGTAAAACAACAATGCACGTTTTGTAAAATTTTAAATTTAACTATTTACATTATGCGTGTGTAACATACTGTAATAAATAAATAAATTATTTAGACAGCAAACTACTTGACATTGCTTAAAAAAATATGTTATAGAATATTAATTTACTTAGTATCAATAGATTATTGATGAATAATATACAATTTATAAACTTTCTTATCAAATTTATCATCTTTCAAATTTTTGCCTTAAATTAAATAGAAGTATGAATTTTGATTTTGGAAGTATTTTTACATATCTTTCAATTTTTTATGAAAAGTCTTTTGCAGTTTAATTGGTCTTCATCTCACTGATCTGTTAGTCTTTTTAGTGGTTTTAAAAGCATCATTGAACGTTGATTGAGCTTGGAAGAACAGCAACGGAGATGTCCTTATGCTATACTTGGTGCATGACTAAATGCAGCTCATCCTCTCCAGGACACAACAATGAATCAATATTGTAAAACGATACATGCAGAGCTATTAAAAAGCACGAAACTCCTGAGATTAAAAAAAAAAAAAAAAAACGTTTATTAGTCTCCCATTGGTAAATGAAAAAAATGTAATCATAACAATAATTGTATACCTAGAACCCAAAAAAGTACAGCTCCAGCTCCAACCAGGTAAAATAATGGAAGCGAACAAATACCAATAAATCCGTACACTTGAGCAAGTGTCAATCTGTAGCTTGCAATTATTATTGCATGTTTGGAATAAATTTGAGATGCCTTGTAACAGGCAAATAGAGCTGCCACGACTGTTATCAGCAGTAGTGGCGATGTGAGACTAAAACATACCAATTGACATAAAATTAATGAAAACACTACGTATTAATGAAACTAAGTATAATTCATACTCACAGGCAATAGAGAACCAATCCAACAAAGACGAAAAAGTAGTTGCTTTGGAAGTACTCAATATTCTTCACAACACGTTTACTCAGTCTTGAGATATTTGGCGGTGGTCTAAAGTTATTGGTAGCCAGAAATACGGACCACGGCCTGAGGGTAGCTCTTCTGTGCTGGATCCACTCCTGAGCCTTTGGATGTCCAAACTGGCCAAGGGGTATTTGAATTCTGGGCAGCTCAAATCTGAAGATCGACAAATACAAAAATTCTCATCAGCTGTACTATGTATTTGACGTATCAATTATGCAGCGGAAAAAAAACAACGCTGGGTTCAATGAACTGACTCATAAAATAAAATAAACACTCACCCATTATTATCTGCAACGTTTTTTTCATAAGGATTCTCCATCTCTCCCGTAACGTTAATTTCAACATCCGTCATGTTTACTATCCGTTATACGCTCACCTATAACCTTTCCCCCGTTACAGCAAAATACCGTTCAACTTGTTCCTTTTGCAAAAAGCAGATCCGTCCCTTTAAAATATCACAGAACGATCGACAGCTGTGGGACCGCAAATACCCTCTTTCATCAAAAATAAATTAAAGTACGCATATATAAGTAAAAATCAAAGCAAAACGACACGACACACGTTGACGTCGCTTTGTCGGTTTATTTATTTTTTTCCCTCATAGTTCACACTTGTACAGCTCGACAGCTGTTACGCCCGTACTTATCAGTGTGTGTATAATGTATATACATATGTAGTATATATATATATATCGTGTTCCTATTTCCGTACTGCCGTTCTCATTACCGGACCCCATCTACCGTACGTGTTCCTATTACCGGACCCCATTCACCGTTTGACGACAGATTTGACTATAACCTCACATTTTTGTTTACAACTGCATATCGATCTCAGTGCCTGCTACATAAATCACGATGAAAATGTCAAAAGCAGAGAAAGATGGAAAATCGAAAATTAAGGAAAAAACGCCAAGTCAATTATGCAATTCAAAAAGATAGCAGACAGAAAAATCAAAAAAGAAAAACAATTACAGAGAGAGAAACAAAGATTAGAAAAAGAAAATAAAAAATTACGAAAGCAAGAAGAGAAGTTAAAAGCCATTGTAAACAGAAAAAAGTCTGTTGAGGAAGA